ACCAATACCAGGATGTTTTGATTGCCTTACCATGGCCGTTTAGTAGCTTCTAAGATTGAAGTGTGAGACCTCTTAGTTTGCTCTTCTTCAACAGTATCTTACTTATCTGGAGCCTTGGTTTTTCTATCTCATTAAAGAATGTTGTTAGAATTTCTACTGGAACTGTATTATACATGGGGACTTCAAAAAAAGTATGTGGAAAGATAAACTTTAAGAGATCCAAATAAAAACAAACTTTATTTCTCAATATAGGCTCCATCAAGTTCAAGCCATTTTTGTAAGCAATGATATCATTTAGTCTAGCTCTAAAGAAGTGAAGGAATTTAACCTTATCAATGGTATCTTTTTTATATTACTAACTAAAGAACAATGAGCACCCTTTAAAATTTTATAAGATTTGTTGTTAAGTGTTGTCGAGTAGGTTCCAACTCATAGCAACCCTGTATAGAGTTTTCAAGGAGTAGCTGGTAAATTTGAGCTGCCGACCTTGCAGTTTAAACCAACCTTATGGTCCAGTGTCTACCGTACAGCACCACACCAAGATTAGGAAACAAAAAGTCAGAAGGAGCCAAATCAGGATGAGTAATGATTTCTCAGTAAAACTCTAGCACAACTGCCCTTTCTTGATGAGAGGAATGGGCAGGAGCGTTGCCGTGGTGAAGACACTAGTGAAATTTTCCAATGTCTTTTCCTGTTAATACTTTCCCATAACACTCTCAACTAGCAAAATGCCTTGAGAATCCCAAAAAACTGTTGCCTTTACCTGGTGCTTTGACTTGACGACTTCCAGCTCTTGGTAGTCATTGTGTTGATTGTGCTTTTGTTGCAGAACTGCACTGTTAAAGCCTTGTTTCATCTCCTAGTACAATTCTTCAAAGAACTGCTTCATGAACTTGATCCCACTTGTTTAAAATTTCCACTGAAAACTTTGCTTTTGTCTGCAGTTGATCTGGATGCAATCGTTTTGGCATCCATTGAGTGCACAGTTTGCTCAACTTAATTTTTTAGTCAGAACTGTGCAAGCTGATCCAATTGGAATTATGGTGTTGGCTATTGTTTCTGTTGTTAATTATCAGTCTTCTTCAATTAGGACACAAACAAGACATTTCCTTGCAAATCAGTGTGGATGGTCTACCAGTGGGGGCTTCCTCTTCAACACTGTCTCATCCCTTCTTAAAATGGGTTAATCACTTATAAATTGCTGATTGTTTTGGACATATATCCCTACAAACCTTAAGTATTAATGATTTCACCATTTCAGCATAAATTTGATGTTTGCTCTTGCTTCAATTTTAGCAGAATTCATGTTGCTTTGATAGGAGCTCTTTTCAAACTAAAGTCTTATCCTTATTTCTCAACCTAGATCCTGCTCTGGTACGTTAAAAATTATGAATACTGGGAGGTGCAAATGAAATCCATGCACAGTTTTTTTCATAATATACATTTTCCATGAACATTTGGAAGACCTTATGAGCAGCAGTGGAACACTGTATAGTGCCAGAAGATGAGACTCTCAAGTTGGACAGCACTCAAATTGTGACTGGGAAAGAGCTGCGTCCTCAAAGTAGAGTTGACTTAATGATATGGATGGAGCAAAGCTTTCAAGACCTTCATTTGCTGATGGCACACAATTCAAAATGAGAAGAAACAGCTGCAAACATCCAGTACTGATCGGAATGTGGACTCTATAAAGCATGACTAGGAAAAATGGAAGTCATCAAAAATGAAATGAAAACACATAAGAGTATCAATATCCTAGGTATTAGTCAGCTATAAAGGGCAGGTATTGGCCACTCTGAATCAGACAACTATTAGAACTACTATGGTGGGAATGACAAAATGAAGAATGGTGTCACATTCAATGTAAGAAAGAGCATTTCAGTATCACAATGCTATCAGTGATAGAATAATACCTACAGGCCTACAAGAAAGGGTAGTTAGTATGACTATTATTCAAATTTATGCACCAACCACGAATGATGATGAAATTGAAGATTCTACCAACTTCTTCAGTCTGCAACTGATCAAACATGTAATCAATGATAATTACTAGTGATTAAAATATGAAGGAGCTCTGGTAGCGTAATGGCTACAAATTGGGCTGTAAACCGCCAGGTCAGCAGTTCAAAACTATCAGCTGTTCCGCAGAAGAAAGATGAGGCTTTCTGCTCTTGTAAATATTTACAGCCTCGGAAACCCTGTACAGGGTCGCTATGAGTCGGAACTGACTCCACGGCACATACCACCACCACCAGAATATGAAAGTTAAAACAAATAGTTGGAAAATACAGCTTTGGTAATAGAAATTATGCTGGAAAACATGTAATAGAATTTGTAAAACCAATGACTTATTCACTTCAAATACCTTTTGCAACAACATAAACAGTGACTATACATCGCTATGAGTCGGAACCGACTCCATGGCACATAACAACAACATACATACAAGACATCACCAGATAGCTCATACAGGAATCAAAATTACAACATCTGTGGGAAGAGATGATGGAGAAGCTCAATATCATCACCAAAAACATGGCCAGGAGTCAACTGAGGAACAGACCAGAACACAAATTGCTCAAATGCAAGTCCAAGCTGAAACTGAAGAAAATTAAAACAAGTCCACGAGAGTGATCCTGAGTATCTCCCACCTGAATTTAGATATCATCTGAAGAGTAGATTTGATACATTAGACACTAATGATCAAAGACCCAAAGAATTGTAGGATGGCATCAAGATCATCATATGTAAAAAAGGGAAAGGTCATTAAAAAGACACTTAATAAAAGACCAAAATGGGTGTCAAGAGATTAAAACTTGCTCTTAAGCCTAGAAAACAAGCTAAAGCAAACAGAAGCAATGATGTTGTTAAATAACTGAACAGAAATTTTCAAAGGACAGCTTGAGAAGACAAAATCAAATATTGTAATGAAATGTGCAAAGACTTAGAGATAGAAAACCAAAAAGGAAGATGAACATGCTTAGCATTTCTCAATCTGAAAAAAATTAAACCTCAATTTACAACCCTAAAGGATTCTATGAGAGCAAAATACTGAATGATGCAGAAAACATCAAAAGAAGATGGAAGGAATACATAGTCGCTGTAAGAAAAAGAACTGGTTGATGCTCAACCATTTCAAAAGGTGACACATAATGAAGAACAAAAGGTACAGAAAGAAGAAGTTGTTCGAGCTGCACTGAAGTCATTGAAGAAAGAAAAGGCTCTAGGAACTGACAAAATAAAAATTGCAATGTTTCAGCAAACTGATGCTGCACTGGAAGCAGTCCACCATCTGTGCCAAGAAATTTGGAAGAAAGCTACCTGGCCAATCCATTCGAAAAGAACCATATTTGTGCCCATTCCAAAGAAAGGTAACACAGTGGAATGCATAAATCATCAAACAGTATCATAATATATGCAAGTGAAATTCTGAATTGGTTGCAGTAGTACATAGAGAGGAAGCTGCCAAAAATTCAAGCCAGATTCAGAAGAGGAGGTTGAAAGAGGGGTACCATTGCGGATGTCAGAAAGATCTTGATGAAAACAGAGAATACCAGAAAGATGTTTACTTGTGCTCTGGTTATGCAAGGAATTCGATTGTGTGGATCATAACAAACTATGTATGCATAGCACTGTGAAGAATAGGAATTCTAGAACACTTCATTGTACTCATGAAAAACCTATACACAAACCAAGAGGCAGCATTTCAAACAGAACAAGAGAGCACTGAATGGCTTATAATCAGGAAAGGTGTGTGCCAAAATTGTATTCTTTCACCATACTTATTCAATCTGAATGCTGAGCAAATAATCCAGTGAGCTGGATTATATGAAGAATAACATAACATCAGGATTAGAGGAAGCCTCATTAACCTGTAATATGCAGATGATACAACCTTGACTACTACAAGTGAAGAGGACTTAAAATGTTTACTGATGAAGATCAAAGACCACAGCCTTCAGTATGGGTCATACCTAAATGTAAGGAAAACAAAAATCCTCACCACTGGACCAATAAACCACATCCATATAATGGAGAAAAGATTGAAGTTGTCAAAGACTTCATTTTGCTTGGCTCCACAATCAACATTCACAGAAACAGCAATCAAGATATCAAACAAAGCATCGAGCAAATCTGCAAAAGATCTCGTTAAAGTGTTAAACAGTAAAGCTGTCAGTTTTAGGACTAAAGTGCACCTGACCCAAGTCATGGTATTTTTGATCACCTCATATGCATATGAAAGTTGGACAACTAAATAATGATGAAAGAAGACTACTGAATAATGATGAACTTTAGTTATGGTGATGGAGAAGAATTTTGAAAGTACCATAGACTGCTAAAAGAACAAATAAATCTGTGTTGGAAGAAGTACTGGTAGAATACTCCTTATAAGACAGGATGGCCAGACTTCATCTCTCATATTTCAAACATGTTGCCAAGAGGAGCCAGTCCCAGAAAACATTATGCTTGGTAAAGCAGAGGGTCATTGAATAAGAGGAAAATCCCCAACAAGATGGATTTACAGTGGCATCGACAAAAGGATCAAACATAGCAAGAATTGTGAGTCTGGCATACAACCAAGCAGCCTTTCATTCTATCATATGTAGGGTTGCTTATGCCAGCACTTAACTACTGTATGGTGGACCTTAAGAGTTCACACAGAATACAACATGTTAACAGGCATGGACATCAGCCCCAGCAAACAGAGCTGACCTCAGCTGCTACACTGTCTGTGAGCAACTCAGTCTCCAACCACAATAGGACGTTCTCATCTTCAACACAGTTTTTATACCCTAAAGCAAGTTTTGAAAGCCCTGCCTTGTTATCTGTCATCAGTAGCAACAATAAAATTTTTCCTGTATCCAGTGAAGAGGTAAGGTCTGGTAAGGGTTAGACTTTAATAATTACTAAATTACAGATAAGAGTCCCACAGGATGGTAAGTACTGCAGACAAAAGGCTCAGTAACATTAACTCTTGCAAGTTCTAGCATATTTCCTACCTGTATATTCAGAAAATGGCTTATGTATGACTCCTAGCACAGGTTTGCCATTTACAGCCACACACACCATAGTAGTGACATACTTTCGAAGATCCTCTGAAAACAGAAACAAAAATGTCATACAATTGTCAAAGCAACAAACTATAAATTCAGAGTACATAGTTGTTTCATTAGAATTTATTTCAATGAAATTTAGAACATAATCCCCTCAAGCACAGTTGACATCCAACTTAAGGTAGCAATGGACACAGTAATACCGTTTTGCTACTTACTGGTGTTCTGGGTACTTGGGAATTTACTATTTTGAATTCGAAGATCAAAGGTAAATGCAATAAAACCTAAATTCTCAAAAGCCCAAGTCAATGCATTAGGCTAAAAAAAAAATGTCCTCAATAAAATGATGTCCAATGGGAACCTGAATGTTCTTGTTAAAATTTTCTCTTTCTTAAAGAATTAATTAGTGAGAGTGAGCCACTGTCATTCTATTATAATACAGTACATATTGAAGGGAAGAAAGAAAATCTATAATCACTGATCCAGTCCAAATGTCAAATACATTTGTCTTAAAATCTAACTGGAAGAGCTGTTTTGGTTTTGAAAATACCTACCTCCATGTATATACCACCTTACCTTTTTCGTGGGGGTAAGGTAGAAGTGGGAGAAGCAGTCTAGTTCTTCAGTATGTACTAGCAATCAGAAGTCTGAGATGAATGCTTTCAATTACCTGTATATTCTTGTGTAGCATCAAGTGGATCAATCCACACAGTAACACTTTCTGCTGGTACCTCTTTTGGGGCAGTTATTTCCCTCAAGATATCCTCAGGAATATGACGATCCCACAAGATAACCTCCTGATCCGCTGCATCCACATGTTCCTCAGTATTTATCTGCATCAAATACAGTAGACAGTTAAAAAATATATATATATATATATATACCACCTGAGAAAACACAAAAGACACATTTCTGATACAACCACAAACTGTAAAGAAGCAAATCCATTTTTTTTTTTTACTTTGAGGCTTTATTCCCCTCTCCTAAATGAAAATGTTATCAATTTCAGCAACATCTTCTCTTCAAATGCTGAGCAATCTACTAATTACAATCTACTATTGGCTCTGGAGCTCTGGTAGCGTAGTGGTTACGAATCGGGCTGCAAACCTTAAGGTCAGTGGTTCGAAACTACCAGCCGCTCTGCGGGAGAAAGATGAGGCTTTCTACTCCCATAAAGATTTACACCCTAGGAAACCCTGTACAGGGTCGCTATGGGTCAGAACCGACTCGATGGCACTTAACAACAATTGGCTCTGGAAGTGTAGTGGTTACAAGTTGGGCTATAACCCTCAAGGTCAGCAGTTCAAAACTACCAGATGTTTAGCCAATGGTTGTGGAGGTAGTATGCCATGGAGTTTATTTTGACTCATAACAACCTTGCATAGGGTTTTGTTTTGTTTTGTTTTGCTTCCTATTCCATGATTTACTTATTTAAGTTTTTTAATGTGAAATTGGGTAATGGGTTACATGGGAGAACATCAGCTTTACATTCATCCTATTGTATTTTGTTTCATTTGCATAGGGTTTTTGAGGCAATAAGTGATAGGATAATATCCATACGTCTACAAGGAAGACCAATTAATACTACTATTATTCAAATTTACACACCAACCACTAAAGCCAGTGATGATGAAACTGAAGACTTCTATCAACTTCTTCAAGGAGCTCTGGTAGCGTAGTGGTTATGAATCAGGCTGTGAACTGCAAGGTCAGCAGTTCGAAATTACCAGCTGTTCCAGGGGAGAAAGATGAGGCTTTCTGCTCTTGTAAAGATTTACAGGCTCAGAAACCCTGTACAGGGTCGCTATGAGTCATAACTGACTCCACAGCACGTAACAACGACAACATCAACTTCTTCAATTTCAGACTGAAGAAGTTGATGGTGGTGATGGTGGTTATGTGCTGTGGTGTCAGTTCTGACTCACAGAGATCCTGAATAGGGTTTCTGAGGCTGTAAAGTTTTACAGGAGCAGAAAGCCTCATCGTTCTCCTGCTGAACAGCTGGCAGTTTTGAACTAGCTAGACCTTGAGATTAGTAGCCGAGCTCGTAACCACTACGCTACCAGAGCTCACTGATGAAGTGATTGTTGTTGTTGTTATGTACTGTGGAGTCGGTTCTGACTCATAGTGACCCTACACAGGGTTTCCAAGGCTGCAAATCTTTATGGGAACAGAAAGCTTCATCTAAATACCAGCTGTTCTGTGGGAGAAAGATGAGGCTTTCTGCTCCCGTAAAGATTTACAGTCTCGGAAACCCTATTCAGGGTCGCTATGAGTCAGAACTGACACCACAGCACATAACCACCATCAACTTCTTCAGTCTGGAATTGATCAAGCATACAATCAAGGTGTATTGCTAATTACTGGTGATTGGAATGCAAAGGTTGGAAACAAAGAGGAAAAGATCAGTAGTTGGAAAATATGGCCTTGGTGACAGAAATGATGCTGAAATAGCATGACAGAATTTTGTAGGACCAATAACTTCTTCATTGTGAATATCTTTTTTCAAACAACATAAAAGACTACCAATACACAAGGATCTCACCAGATGGAATACACAGAAATCAAATTGACTATATCAGTAGAAAGAGACAGTAGAAAAGCTCCATAACATTAGCCAAAATAAATTCAGGGGCAGACTGTGGAACAGACCATCAATTGCTTAAATGCAAGTTCAAGCTGATGCTGAAAAAAATGAAAACAAGTCCACGAGAGCCAAAACATGACATTGAACATCTCCTACCTGAATTTAGAGATCATCTTAATAACAGATTTGATGCATTAGACATTAAAGACCAAAGACCAGAAGAGTTGTGGGATGACATCAAGAACATCATACCAGAAGAAGGCAAAAGGTTATTAAAAAGACAAAATAGAAGGAAAAGACCAAAATGGATGCCAGAAGAGACTGGGAAACTTGTGCTCCAGTGTAGAGATGTTAAATCAAACGTCAGAAATGAGGAAGTAAAAGAACTAAATAGAAAATTCAAAGAGCAGCTGGAGAAAACCAAGTCAAATACTTTAACAAAATGTGCAAAGACCTGGAGTTAGAAAACCAAGAAGGAAGAACATGCTCAGTATTTCTCAAGCTGAGAGAACTGAAAAAAAATTCAGCTTTGACTTGTAGCATTAATGGATTCTCTGGACAAAATACTGAATGATTCAGAAAACATTAAAAGAAGATGGAAGGAATATACAGAACATATACCAAAAAGAAGTAGTCGATATTCAACCATTTCAAGAGGTGGTATATGATCAAGATCCAATGAAGGAAGAAGTCCAAAGTGCTAAAGGCACTGGCAAAGAACAAGGCTCCAGGAATTGATAGAATATAAATTGAAATCTTTCAACAAACTAATGGAAGCACTGGAGGCACTCACTTACTTATGCCAAGAAATTTGGAAGGCAACTAACTACTTGGACAACCTGACAGGAAGAGATCCATATTTGTGCCCATTCCAAAGAAAGATGGTGACCCATCAGAATACGGAAGTTATTGCTAAAGATAACCCACAACTGGCTGCAAATATACACTGATAGATGTTCTAGCTGGATTCAGAAGAGAACATGGAATGAGGGATATCATTGCTGTTGTCAGATGGATCTTTGCTAAAAGCAGAGAATACTAGAAAGATGTTTACCTGTGATTTATAGACTATGCAAAAAAAGTCTTTCAACTGTGTGGATCATGACAAGCTTTGGACAACATTGCAAAAAATGGACATTCCAGAACACTTAATTGTGCTCATGAGGAACTTGTACACAGACTAAAAAAGGCAGTTGTTCTAACAGACCAAGAGAACACGGTATAATTTAGCATTAGTAAAGGTGTGAGCTAGGGTTGTATTCTTTCACCATACTTATTCAATCTATATGAGCAAATAATTGGAGAAGCTGGATTATATGAAAAAAAAATGTGATATCAAGATTGGAGGAAGACTCATTAACAACTTTGGATGATATGCTGATGATACAACCTTGCTTGCTGAAAATGAAGAGCGCTTAAAATCAAAGACCACAGACTTCAGTATGGGTTGCACTTCAATGTAAAGAAGACAAAAATCCTCACTACTGGAGTAAAGATTGAAGTTGCCAAAGACTTCATTTTGCTCAGATAGGCCATCAACACTCCCGGAAGCAGCAGTCAAGAAATCAAGTGACATATTGCATTAGGCATACTTGCTGCACAAGACCTCTTTAAAGTGTTCAAGACCAAAGACGTCAGTTGAGGACCGTCGAAGAATTGAAGCACTTGAATTATGGTGTTGGAGACTATTTTACAAGTACCATGGACTGCCAAAAAAAAAATCAAACCAAACTGTGTTGAGATCACATACTATAGTATAAGAAGCAGAAAAGCCACAGAAACACAAAGGAGGAAGGCAGGAGGTAAGGACAATCAGGAAACTTAAGGGCTATGGGTATGGAGTAGTCCTGGTATGGCAATGTAGGATAAGCATTGGAGTGCAAGGTCAATTTGAACCAAAAGGTTGGTAGCTCATCAGCAGCTCCAGAGAAACCTTATACAGGGTCACTATGACTCAATGGAACTTAACAACACCATAGATAAGGAAGGAACTCTTCTAAGAGCCACACCCTGAATTTGGACTTCTAATCTCTTTGACTGTGACAAGACAAATGCTTGTTCTTTAAAGTCAGGCAACTGTGGTACTATTTTGCTGTTGTTACAACAACAATAGATAGCTAAACTAAAATAGATGTCAAGTCTCCCATCAATACACTATAGATTTTATGTTATCTCCAATCCCTATAGGTTTTTTCCTCCTCCTTGGAAAATGGACAAAGCCATTTCTGCAATTTACGTGAAAAAGCAAAATGTAAGGAAAAATAGGCAGACCGACTGTTACTACAAGAACAAGCAACTTGCTTGCCCAGGAAACATCAAGGCAAGTGGTTGGGTCCCCTCAGTGCAAACCCCCTTCCAAGACTAAGCCTCAATGGGAATACACGCTGTGATTGGTGACCACGCTCAACACCAATAAGGGGAAGTGAGGGAAAAACAGCAATGAAGCAGAGAGCTAAGCCCTACAACGTTCAATAGACTTCTATGAACCCGGGTGAAGACCTGGTTGGCCAGCAGTGTGGCAAGACCTGGGGACTCTTCGGCCCAGAGTCAGTGACATAGCCACAGAGGACTAGAGTGGAGAGTGA